TGAGCACCTCTTGTAATTGTAGAGGCCAAAGGTAACTTGTATTAATCTCATGATGTCTGAATAAATTTAGTATTAAAATATTTATACAAGTTTTTCTTTTCCTGAAGTGTGTATACATTTTTTTGGCTGACTCTGTATATTTGGATGTGATATCCAAATACTGACTTTTACATGCAACAGAGAAAAGTAAAATTATTTTTAAAAGAATGCTCTCAGTGGAAAAGTTAACGTTCCCCCCAAAAGTAAATGCCCTTTGATAATGTGTCCAGGAACTTTCTGGTCACCCTGTATTATCTTCCTGTTATTTCCCCTCACATGGCAATTTCTGACCTCAGAAATGTAATAGAATGAATGTTTTCAAATTTGACTGAGAGCATAATGTGAGACCAGTTGACCTGATGACTGTACTGTGATTCTACTCATAGGTCCCGACCTCGGAGAAGATACAAAGAAGAGGAAGAAAAAACTAGTCGACAAGCAAGCCAGTCTCAGGTTTCACATAATGTGTCAAGAGAGAGAAACACTGGAGAGACAGAAAGTGATTCTGCAACTCATTCAACTCTCAATAGCTTCAACTCCATCTCTGCAACAAAGGCACCAGCACAACAGTTTGACTTAGAAGCAGCTGCATTCCCACCTCTGCCAAGCACCAATAGTGAATCACCAAATGAAAGAGGACCATCCTCTGAACTACCATCAAAAGATGGAGACTCTTTGGCTGATGTTGTGAAGGGAACTTGTAGGTCACGTTCTGGTCCTTCACAATTGGAGGGGAAAAAGATAGCCAATGGGGAGGTTGTACTTGGAAACACCGAAGAAAGTCCAATGAATGGGACTTTCTCTCTTGTAAAACCTTCTACACCTGAAGCCCCTTCACACACGTGAGCTTTCATAATTGTCTTTCTTATGACACTAGTGGGAATTCTTGTGTAATTGATTGTTGATTCTCCTTGTCATCTAGCACCAACAAGTGGAGTGATAAGGTAGTTGGTGAGCCTGATAAAGAAGAAAGTGAAATTCCTACTCCATCACAGAGCAACACTGTCAGCATTTCTGTTGCCACAGAGAAGCAGAAGCACATTCCATCAACCATAGATGCTGCCACTATGACAGTTGGTCTTGCTTCAGAATCAGTCATTGACAAACCCAAGCCTGCCAAAAGTGATGTGGCCACTAACACCAGGGTAAGGGTACTTCTTTTTTTTTTTTAATGTTACTTTTATTTATGCAGTTCCATCTTGGATTCTTCAAGTAACAAAAGTCTGCTTCTTTTGGCATTTAGTTCATGACAAGTCATGCCATCTGGCAAAACCATCTAAAGAACCCATAACTTAGTTTATCAAATTCATCATCCTTGACAAGGGTCATCCCAAGTGGTAGGGGAATGGTGAAATTTGGTGGATGTATCAAATGATTGACCATATGCATCATTTCAACCTTTTCTTGTCCATCATACCAACACATAAGTAGTTTTTTGTTGAAGGGAGTTGAAAGGCTCTTTTGAAAACTCTGCTGTTCTGCATGTAGGAGGGCATTTCAAGTCCAAGCAAGTCAACTAAGTCAGCTGGAGCTGGTAGCAAGGAAAAGTATGCTGGGACTGTTGCATCTGCATCATGCATAGATGCAGGAACTGAGAGCATGAATGGAGATGTGAATAGCACTTCAATGTCAACTGGAACCCAGACTCAATCCCAGATCCGTACTTCAATTCCCATCTCTACAAGTACAGCTACAGCCAACTTGTGTAACATCCCTGGCCCTGGGTCTCCTTCAGTTTCTACCAACCACTCATCCTCACAAACTACATCTACAACCATTACTAGTGCCAATTGTAGTGGAAAGCTTACTTATGCTCAGATGACTCAGCAGTCCCTTGAACGCATCACTAAGCTCAATATAGAACACAAAGAGAAGCTGATAGAAATCGATAAAGAGAAGCAGCGGACTGTCCCTCCTCCCATTCAAAAGAAAATAGAAAGTAAGTTTTTGGTATATTTGCTATACATGTATCATTCAACCTCAGTCAACATTTTCTTGTTTTCCCTCTTTCAAAAGGAACTTACCCTGTGAGGGATCAGAGGCCAGAAAATCGATTCAATGGCCCCCTTTCAGGTCGGTTCAATGGTGGCAGTCGCTATGAACGTGATCGTGATAACCCAAGGATGAATGGCCCTGGGCATGGATATGGTAGTTTTGGACCTCGTCGAGTGCCTGAATTTAGGCGAATGCAAGGTGATTGGAATTCTCTCGATGAGCGGTACCCACGAACTCCTTTGCCCCGACCCAAAACTCCCGTCAATGTGCCGACCATGAAGTAATTACTGTGCAAAATCTTAATGGAGTTACTTCAGTGAAGATATGGTTGAGTAAAAACACAGTCTTGGTGAGCTTTCTGACAGTTGCTAACTGCATTGTGGTGCTGCTGTTGCTGTTGCTGTTACTGTTACTATGACTATGACTATTACTATTACTATTGCTGAAATAGTGGCTGACTTTGGACTGCATCTCCTCCCTTCTATCCAGCCCTCTGTGCTTTGCATTAGGACTTTGTTTTCTTGAAGTTCATTTTTAGTTAATTAGTTGCAATCTTGTTTTTTTTTTTTCTAAAGCATTGTCTGAATTGTTTCAATGATCCCATCAATCCATTGCTTCTATTCTATAAAAGTCAATGTCACTTGGTTTTTTTTTTTTTTTTTAGTCGTCAGTTTTCAGCAGTTACCAAATGGTCTGGTTGTGATGCATGCTGATGGATTCCCAAGTGCCTCTGTCATACCTCTCATATAGGAAAAGTATCCAAGGACCTTATTCTTCACCATTCATCCCTAGACTCCTGTCGCAAGACAAAGGGGGATATTTTTTCTTATGTTCCATCAAGTTCCTGATTGCAGGGAGAAGAAAATTTGATATTTTTTGGGGACTTGCAGAAGCTTGCCATGTGTCCTATATATATGAAAAGAAAAATGTCATGTGATGCAGTTTCTCATCTGTCAACTATTAAGTGCAAAAGTGATTCAAGTGTCTGGACTGCAGTGATATGCAAAAAGTTTATTATCCTTTTCTCTGTGTTTGTGGCTGCTGCTTCTGCTGCTGGGATTTCCCCCTTCCCCACACCAGATCCATGGAATCATATCAATATCATGCATGCAGAATGTGGTCGAGTTGATTCAAGCTTCCTTGTCTACTTCACCAGTGCTTCCACTCTTGGGGTGTGCATCACCCTTTGTCCCTTTTATTTTCCTTGCCGATTTCTTTTCTAATTCTTTTTTGCTTTTTTCTTCTCTCCCCTCCTCTCTCCCGCCACCTCTCTCTCTCTCTCTCTCTCTCTCTCACACCACTTGGGTCATCCAAGCTCCATAGTGTGATATCCTTGGCAGAACTCCAGCTCTCACACTTAATGTGTGCCAACTCTCTGTCTGAACTAGTAATAATCAAGGGAGAGGAGCATATTTCTTTGAGGAGGGGTCAACCAACTCTTTTCTTCCAAGTGCAATTTTCCTTGGTGTTGTCAGTAGACCCACTATCTCAAGTTCTGGATAATTTAGTTATGGGTTGCTCAAATGTGAATTTGGAAAGTGTGAAATCAGCTAGTCTGTGGTTTTTTGAGTTTTCCGAGATGGGTGTTATAAAAGTGACATTGTGTGTATGAATGAGTGAATGAGAGTAGAAATTTGTGAAAGTGTTCAGAGTATTGTTTTTTTCTTAGGGGTTCAGAAGCTCCTTTTTTGGACTTATGCATTGAAATACGCTTACTGCTGTACCAATACGTAAGAGAGGTGAAGCTGCACCTCGTGATCCCCTGAAAGCTTGGAGAGGATCCACCCAAGCATTGGCTTGGCTTGGTTTGGTGTAGGTTGAGGTATTTGTATTGTATGTATTGTGCATGGAAGTTCTTCCTATGGCATGCCTGATCTCCCAGCCTCCTTTTCCTTCAACCCCTACCCCAAAGTTCTTCATTCATCCATGCTCTCACTCTTTCACCTATTTTCAAGTCTTTTGGTTCTTTCCAGCCTTGGTGTTACCACCACTTACAATGACTTCAATCTATGCCAAGCTAAACTGAGTCTCTCTGTGACCCCTCCCTTACAAAAAGGTTAGCTTCTGTATCTCAACCCTAGCATTTGACCGGTGTCCAGATCTTGACTCAAGTCCTTGTTTCCAACTTTCCTCTCTTCTTGCAGTGTGTTTCACCATTATGTCTCTCCAGCAGTGAACATTAGCTGAGGCCTTATCTTTGGTTGAACTCTCAAATGCTCTTCATCCATTCGAGATCTCATGTTTTCTGCTGCAGTTGGAGATGTTACCAGTTGTTTCTATTTTGAAAAATGTGGAAGCGATTAAGCCTGTCATTTTTGAGATAGTTGGGAGGGAGAGAGAGCGAGAGAATAAGTGTTGAAGTGTAAGGAAGGGGAATACATGGTAGGGAAAGAAAAGGAATTCTCTCAACCTGGACATGTCTTTGTGGTGCCGTCCAAGTACCCAGACCTCTGTGATGGTATGGAACAATGGATATCGGAAACAAGGACATAAGTTCTGAACTACCCACTTCCCCAACAGTTGGGTGTATCCATCTGCCACCCCTCTTCCTCTTTCCTTGCTTTTTTCCGTGTCTTTGCCAATGTGTACCATGCAGGTGCTCTGTACATATTGTCCTCTGTAGGTATATGAGAGATCAATGTATATAAAATTGAAATGGCTTGGACTCTTTCAACAAGTGCATCATCTGGAATCCATAGAGATTTCGATGAGTATCTGTTTTTACTTTGGGTTATACCTTAGATAATATGAATTATGAATAATTTCCCTACTGCTTTTTTTTTCCAAGGTAACTGTTTTGTTTTTTAATCAATCAAAGGTGCTTGATGAGAGAGTCCAAGCTCATCCCAGATGTTCACTTTTTTTTTGGGCTAGACTGTCACAGGTCATGGCCGTTGCCCCGTGGCCTTGTGTGATACCAAACAAAATGAATCCTAACTTTTCTGTCAGTGAGAAGGAATGAGTTGGCAGAACTGCCTTCATAAAGAATCGAAGAAAAAAATATTTTTGAAGTTTTCAGATTTTCTCTGAGGTGGTGCTCTTTTTGGCTTTTTCTTGTTTCATCTTCATCAATGATTTGGCATCTACATTCATGCATAAGCAATCTTGCACAGTAAAGCTACTTCCCAGTCTCATATGTTCATGCTGTGTTGATCTTATTTGCTTGTATTCCTGGAAGGAACCTGCCACATAGTCCTGATTTTATTGCATAACCCCATCCCCTCCCCACACCCAAATCCCGTTGGCATATCAGTTGTGAACGGATGCAGAAATCCTCACCCATCATGTGATGTTGAATTTCAGTTCTCACTTGATGCCATTTATTTGAAATATGCCGAATATCAGTGCTGCTGTTGCATCAAGAGAGAGGGAGAGGGTGGGCACCTGAACACATTCCAGATGACTCTTTGAATGCCTCAGGCTGAGCATGTGTGATTTGCACTCAGTGCTTTTGTCCCAACTCCACTACATGATTCATCCTAGGAGTAAAGAGCAGTCTTTTCCTTGTTGTTGTACTAGGTGTTGGGATTTTGAACTTCCAGCCTCTTCATCTCAGCGTTTGTATTTTACGTGGCGCAAGGTTTCTCTCTCTCCCTCATTTTTGGCATTTCTCAAATGCTGTTGTTAAGCCATTGAGGAGGTTTACTCCCTTCAAAAATATTCATGGAAGATCCCAGAATATTCTAGTGAATGAGAAGAGTTGTTTCTTCTATTGCCAATCGTGTGCTTATGAGAAAAAATTTGAAGAATGGTGTAAAGAGGATGAAGAGCAAAAAAAAAAAAAAAAAGATTCTTCTGTTGAGTTGTGAAATAAAGCACACATGGAAGAGCATTCAATGCTGGAGTTTTCTTTCCATCGTGAACATTGGAATGTGTTTCATTCTGGGAATCATTTATCTTCCCAAATGGGGGAAAGTCTGTCATGGAGTGATGGAGTGCTTCTTTCTCCTGACGATTGGGGTGTAAAGAGGTGAGAAATCGACTCGTGCTCAAACTCCAGCTGCGTTGTTATAACGAAGATGAACCTGCAAGGTTCTCGCTGTGGAACTTCTTTGTGACAGAGAGTGACGTCAATACTCAATAGGAATACTCAAAAGGAACGCAGTAGAGCGTGAGGCTGCTGAAAGATAAGATGTAGTTTATGAAATCCTAAATTTAACGAAAGAGATGAACTATTGATTAGCTGTTACAGTCGATATTCCCCTTTCACATCTCATTCCGTCGTGACAAACATCGAATTTGGTTGGATGGTCCGAACCGACGCAGGCGACTGTCGGACTTATAGACGACCTGCCAAGGGCTGAAATTTCGACTGACGGCGGCATGGAGTGTTACAAGCAGGGTTATCGGAGTTCGTAGGGAAATTTTACTTTAAAAAAAAAAATACGAAAACATAAAGGTGCGATCGTAGAGCAAAAATACAGGCGATATTCTGATCACTAGTCCACTAGCTAAAATAATATGTACGAGTAAGACGTGTAAATAATTTTTTCTAGTTAAAACATCAAGCAGAGGCCAAATGACCTTTTATTTCGTGCAGGTGGATCCTACCTAAGCTAACGGCCATATTGAAAAATGTGGTGCGACCTGATAAAGGTTTACCCTTTGAAAGCCGTATATAATTATTCCTCATCGGCTCCTTATTCGAGCATCCAAGTTGGATTTCATTGTTCTCTTCATTGCCATTATATGCGATTCATTTGCAGGGTTCGCTTTAGAAAGTCCTCAGCGTTTGCCAAGTTTTCATTTTTATCTGCGTTTCTTCCAGAGTTATAAAAATGCCCACATGAGTCACATGAGCCCGGAAACCGAAAATTAAAAAGGACATATTTCATGAATCATGTGGGAAGAACCTAAAACTTTGGATTCTGTCAATTATTCTAATTAGCTGTTAATTTTTTATTGAGATGGTCGAGCGTCACGCGTCTGATCATTTCACCCTAACCATCAATTTACTCCAATTTTTCATCACATCGTAATGAACCGATGACGTTTCTGAAATGTTAAAGATGGACTCTGTAACGTTACGTTGCCCGTACTTAACTGCTAGGAGTTTTTCATTTCGATTTTGTTTCGTCCCACTAAACGGCCTGTACGATTGTGGTATCTCTACCCGTTATATAACCTTGGAGAACTGTGAAGGAATCGGGGACCAAGGAGACAAGAATTCCTCGATATGACCCCTGGCATTTGGGGCCCAGCCGGCTCAGCGTCAGGAGGGATGTAACGAAAACTCTTATTGAGCTGGAAGCGGGGAATCCCCATGACTTTGGCCCCCCTCCCCCTTCTCTCCTCATCCATCTACAACTCCAGCGATCGATGCTCTTTCCCCCGTCCAGAATCCGGGTGCCTGACTAGCACTGCAGCCTCGCAATATGGTTCTATTCTCCCATTTTTCTTTTTTGCAAATAATTATTTAGTAAAAGGCGAAATGCCCCTTATACCAAGGGCTGCGGAACCGAAGGACCATAGGAATGTACCCACACTCTCCCACCCCCCACTTTTACAATTAATGAATTTAGACCCTCACTTTCAATCCACAACTATTTGTTGGCAGCGGAGCATTCGTAGTCCGTTTTCTATGCATAGAATAAGATGAGACACGATTTTAACCTATAATGCAGCTGGAGGAATTGAAACGGCCGGCAAAAGGGATTTAAAGGTAGCAACTCGCCTTTGTCCCCTCCCATTTATGAATCTATTCCACCCCCATTTTCTTATCCACAATGTGATACTATAGCCTGGATTAGAGATTGAATTCTACTTAGATCCTTCAGTAATCGGCATTCGTGAGAATAATATAAACCTTGAAATGGAAAAAAAAAAACGGAGATTTCATCATTCTCACGGGAGTCGCACCCACTTGGGCTGCCTCAAAGCGAATAGAGAGATTTTCCACCCTGTCCTGGGGAGGTATTGCCCTGCGAGACAGCAAAGTCAAGGGCGGGGACTGAATTCCCTTCCATTCTATAGACTTCACTCAGCCCACGCTAGAGGTCCTCGCGAGGGAGAGGGGACTGCAGGTCTTGTCCATCTTTTCACGCTTATTATTGAGAAAATACAGGGTGTTCCTAAATTATCTTTCCTATTTTGAATGTAAATTTTAAAAATAACTAATAAACACAAAAATGCAGTTTGCACAATCCTGTAGCCTAACTCAAAGAGTTTTTATTGACATGTCAGTAGACTTCCACATATGCACCGTTAGTGGCTCTCAGCACGTCTAACTAATATTCAATTTCAGTCCACGTTCGCTGAAACATGTCCGCAGTCACACTGGCTATGGCGTCCGTTATCCTGGTCATGTCAACTCTTTGAGTTGGACTAAAAGATGGTGCAAACGGCATTTTTCTGTGTTTTAGTAATTTTTTTTACGTTCAAAATAGGAAAGATAATTTAGGAACACCCTGTAGAGGATGTGGATTTCATCCTTCTCCATTTCTGCATTAAATATACCTCGTACATTTTTCCCCGAGTGGTTTAGCTCAGGTTAATAAAAAAAACTTATAATAATAATAAAGGCAGATTAATAAACGATTCAACAGAAGGGTGAGGGTAGAAAGTGATTCGCCGTCTCGAGAGCCCTGCTCCTAGTCGTCGATTCACCGCGTCCATTATACGCCTTCCGAAGTCAGTCAATCTTCAAGTTTCAAGTTATCTTGTTGCCATTCTCAGTGAAAATGGGAATTTTTTTTTTTACTGTAGACAATTCCTGGAAATAATATTGCTGTTGGAATAATTCATCATCGTTGTCCTAATGGATGTCATCAGCTCATTTGTTTTAATGATGATTTTAGGATGTCCATGATGAATTCACGATTCTGTGTCACTCTGTGTGATAATTGTGGTCTCGATCCAATTCTGAGAGAGCCAACCGATCGGACCCAGATCCTGCACATGTTCGGATGTTACCATTGCTGTTACCAATATGTTTAGAGTAATAAATGGGGATGGTTATTATGTACGTTCATGTTGGCCTTTGATTTAGGCGAAGGCGCCCACAGCTGGAAAACTAATTATCCATAAAATCCAATTATCATTTTGGTATCACCGCGAGCTTGGATCATAATCGTTGCATGCGGAAAAAAAAGGGCTGCAGCTGCATAATGATTTCCAGGAAATCAGGGGTTGCCGGCATCGTGAGCAGGGTGAGCCACAGGTGTGGGTGTCTGCCCATATACGGCCACAGCGAAATACAACTGTCAACTCATAAACAAGCGAGCATAGTTGTGGAACTGTTGAGTTACACGTTTCATTTTGAAGATAGATACTTTTACTTTTTATACATTTTAATATTAAAATGTTCAATATTTCAATGACTTTCATAATGACTGTATGTGCATGTCAACAGTGAGCTGCACCAAGAGCCGAGTCTTGGGAACTCCATCGTGTAAATTGTGCTAATAGCTGGTTACTCCTTTCGAAACTATGTATGGAAGTGTTTTGTTTCTTCTTCTCCCCCTCCTCAAATACAACTTGCAAGAAAATGCAGGAAACGCCGGCTTCATGATATTGAGAAATGATCTTAACGAATTCCATTCCATGGACCACAGAACTGTCGTATTTGAACTGATGAATACAATATCCTCTTCCTTGTACATCAGCATGTTGTATCTCGTATCTTCAGAATCAAGAGGGGGAGAAAAGAAAGAGGCGGGGGAATGACTTGGAAGACCCCAAAATAAAAACAAAACCGTGTAGCGAAAACGGCCTTGGGCTATGATGACTTATAGGATAGGAATGAGATGCTACCGGGCAGTGCAGTTCACCTGTGCCAGACGCAGGCGCACTTGTTCCATTCTCTTTCCCACTCCGAGCATCCGAACGGCTCCGGCCAAGCCAGGCAGGCAGGGAGGCCGCAGTGAGCGAGCGAATGTGTGAGTGCTGAGTGCTCCAATGCAAGGCCTGCCTATTCGCTGCATTTCCAAACGCCTCGCGACCTTCTAACGTGTTCGTCCTCTACTTCTCGTCACCTGATGCGCTAGAAAGTGAGTGACATCTTTGCATCTCGATCGTCCCTAACCCCGACTGTACTGACCTGTAAGCCGTGTTTAGCGATGGGGAAATATTTCCTGACAATTGCATGGCAGTCAGTTGGCCATCACGTGATGGCTACGACGTGCTGACGTAATATCGTATGTCTGGGGTGTTCACCTATTCGGTCGCTCGCATCACTTCCTGTCTAGGCACGACCTATAAGCGACAAGGAGAACCAAAAAGAAAACTTCGTGTTCTGTCCACCTGAAACGGCCTCCAAGCAGCTGTAACGCTGTCTACCTTTTTATTCTGATTCAGACCTAGTGTTGCCGTCAATAGACTTGTTTCGCCAGGAACTCGAGCAGAAAGCCTCTGGGCCTATGCCTTCTATTGTAAGGGGATTTGGCGTGCAACACTAAAGGGAAACTCAGGAGTTGTTGAAACTCGTTGATAGACCTAGGCCTTCCAGAATCCCCAGGAAGTGCCGCGAATTGCCCATTCACCTTATCAGCCGTTAAGTCCGCCGTGAGAGTGGGATGGCTGTAATGACCTTGTTATAGTTATGCTTTACAACATGAAGGCATCCTTTATTTTTATAAATATAATAATTATTAAATAGGATGGAATCTTGAAGTGTGAGCACACTCTAAAGTTTTGTTTCCCAGTCAACAAAGAAAACATGCATTCCATCACGCCATAAACCAGGACTGTGGATAGGCTGCTCGAGATAAGTTTTTATTAGGATCCCTTCTTTGTCAGGATATCTCATCCCAAGGGCACAGGTATATTATTGCATGGTGGAGTTGGCATCAGAGGTTCCAAATATGAAGAAACTGATGACGAAAGATGCAGTTGTTGTAGCCTTGAAACTTGACATCTTAGCCCGCGGAGGTAGTAGCCCTGACCTCGGGATTGTAGTGCCGACGAACGGCATATCCGTGTCCACAGACGGTTGGACTCGATGGTGGATGCGTACGTTCCGGGAAAAAGGGAAAATGGATTCTCGGAACCCATTCCATGCGTCTCTTTCCGAGTCAGAAGTCAAGCAGAACCATGTAATGGTCTAGTGGGAAAGTGGCCCCGGGGGATAGATGCCCCCAGGCCACTTCTCTTTCTCCCCACCTGTCCTTCCCACCTGACAGGATAGAAATGAAGCGACGGTAACTGCGCAGAACGAGAGCTCGTGTCTTTCCGAGGATCGTAAATGGGAATTCCACAGAGATCTGGCCGACATGGCGGGGTTTCCCCCTTCCGAACGCACACGAGGGGAATGAATGATGTGAGGATTGGGAGGAAGGGAAATCGATACTGCAATCCTTCGGAAGCTTCTGGTTTTGGAGAAGGGATGGCGTGACCAGGGTTGTCATTGTCGGAGTTAGTCCACTCCGAGTCCTTCGCATGAATCTGGGGTCATGTCGATACATACTCCCATCGATCGCTTCGTTGGCTCTCATTTATTAACCAAGACGAGGGACCAACAAGCATTTATACTCCAACGGGGCGCTACAAGAAAAGGTATCCGCTTGGTTTTCCGTCACACGGAAGGCAAACCCCTTCCCGTCGATCTAGTGGAGTGATGAATAATAAAAGGGTAGTGCCCCTATTTTTAGAGGGTTTGTCTTATTCGGATCAGCTGGCATATAGTTGTTTTTTGGGATCCGAGGAGGGGATCGTGCAACCCTGTCCGAAATCGATGCTCACGTGAGCTGGTCGGTCGCTGCATCGTGCAGAGAGTTTCATTTTTTCCACTTCTTCGTCTGTTCCAGATAAGGTATTGTATTGCATCGTGGGCGTATACTTACAGTAGAATATTCGTCCATTTTCCGTTCTGATATGCTCTCATGTTGATTTCCCCAGGCTCCCGAGATAAACAAGTTCAGACTAGTAAATTAGAGCCCAATAGACGCTCGCGGAAATCACGTCCTTGTTTACAGATAATGAAATACTTTGTTCCCACGGGAGTTCTGCTTTCCGATTCAACTGTAGGCCTGTACTGTTGCATGATGTAGCTGATTTGGCTATCAACGTCCTAAATCTGCAGTGTGCAGCCATCCTGAGTCGTGTCGAAGCCGAGTGTGGCATTTCAAGCAACTATCTACACGTAGCAACAGTCTAAGCTGTGGCTTGAGTCTCATAAAGACGAAGAAATCGAGCAGGAATGGATTGACTAGACTGATGGAACATAATATATTGTTCCTTAAATATTTGGTAAGAAGGGATCACTTACTTCAAATATACAATCCAGTGGAACATAATATGTTTGGTCCGATTGCACAGGTTATTTCATAATAATCAGACCGCCCTTGAAAGACCCCCATTCCTTGAGGGCAAAATAATGCCCTCCACTACAGTCAGTATACGACCAATGAAAACTACCAAAAGAATAGTATGAACAAGCCGGGTTCATACGACTGCATCAATTATAGTTTTAGAGATTTTATTCCATTCAAGACAATTCAAAGACCGCCAAAATGTGTGGCTCATATACCTCGCAACCATGCTGACTCCAATTGGATCGCGAGAAATCATCTGTAAGAAAATAATAATACACACATTCTGCCTCTGCTACTCACGGATAAAGAAACCTTCGTTCACGTCGAAGGTTGAACGGTTGGATTTATGAGTCCTAATGCAAATGACAACGTTTTTATGAATAAAGCTGTAGAGATTTATCGTATCGCAAATGTGCAATCATGCAACGGCGGACATGAACTGTGGGTGAGGTGTGAATCATTTGCAATTGGGACATTTTATTCTAGAGGGAGACCATGTACTTATTATTCAGTCCGGGGTAATAGCATCTTTATAACTTTTTGTTCGGGGGGGGGGGAACAAAGGACCACATGTTTCGCCACTTCGGATCTTCCGCCCGTTCTTTCCTTAATTACATGTCATTGGAAGAGGAATTTTGGAATTTTCCCTCCCACCGAAAGTTATAAATAAATAAGTTATGGAAAGGCAACAAATGTCACCTTAAGAAGCAGCTCGGATTTCTGTTAAGCCTGTTTATCCTCGTGAAACATCCTGACTCCCAGAGGAGGTGCCGACTGTTTATCAATGGGCCTAGCAAGATGGGGGGGGGGGGGGGGAGGAGACTTTGACCCACTGCCGCTCATTTCATCACACGCCGCTAGTGAGATAGGCGCATAAAGAAAAGGCTTTCAGGATCGATGAACGCTTCTAATTTCTGCTAGGTCCCTAAAGGTGCGAAAATACATGGTGCAATTTGGAGAGACATGCACGGGTGGGTGGGTATTCACTTACTTACGGAACAATGGGAACTTACGGCGTGTAAGTTCCCATTGAATTCCTAGAAAATACATGGAAAAGCGCCGATGGTGTGTCGCGGTGAAGCGTTATCCCCTGTCTTGCCTGTGGTTGTAGTGTAGATTGGTGCAATCATCGTTCAAGTCCGTTCAGTCTCTTTCAAGAAAGTTTAATGCCGTGCATCATTGACTAAAATTTGTATGCAAGTCACGCGGCAAATTCACCCGGGAAGTTTTTGCACACAAGGCGTTGCATTTGTAAATCTGCCATAGTGTAGTATCAGCTTCGTATGCAGCCTGAGCCATTGATTGCTCTTGCCATCATACGATATCGATTTCACCTGCAGTTTTTCCTTTCTCTTGTGTACGTCAATTATAGAGTTCTCGGAACCTGGAAAAAAAAAAGAACAGAGATGTTACAATATTGGTATGCGTTAACGATTGCCGTCTCCAAGAAGTGATCGATTCCAACATGAAAACAGTCAGCGACTTTACTCTACACATCAGTCGTAGACGAAGTTACCATGACAGGTCTGTACCTTCACCTTGTTGCACGGGGTATGCTTTTTTATTTGATACAGGTGAATAAAGAACGGGAGAAGGATGAGAACGCCCCCGGTGGATCAATTCTTCCGCTCCCTATCCATGGACCCGGACGGGGAGACCTCGGCCCAGATCCTTGAAAGCAAGCCTTCCATCGACGTCCTGTTGTCCAGCGGAACCGACGAGTTCTCCAATGCGTAAGTATTATGCCGTGATCTGTGTCTTGGTTCGGCTGCCCCGCGCGGTCAGCTGGAACCCATCATCCGTGGCTCCCACGTCACATGTGCGTCATCTCGTAGATAATGGACCTCTCGGTGGAGTCTATAATATCGACCGACGTGGAAGAATCCCCTTCTTATCTGTTAGCATTCCAGCCCCTCCTCGTACTGCTTTCTGCTTGTTGAAAAATGATAATATCTCCGTTCTTTGGAAAAAAATAAAGCCCTCTCCTTGCATCCAACAACTATTTAGACTCAGAATGCTCCATTCCGCTTCTTTTTTTTGCAGAGTATAGTGCGATCTGTTTTTTCCAGTACCTTAACGTCCGAATCTCAACTATATTCCTCATTCAGGTTCACGAAGTTCTGTAAAGTCAAAGTGGGCTACAGAGATTTGATGGGAAGAATGGGATGGGTTGGGACCGAAACCAGAACCTGTGATCGCTGCAATTATGAACATAAATCAGTAATGCCATCGCAAATGGGGTACGACAGCTGCTGCTATTCCTGCAATTGGCATATTGTCGTGTTGTCGGCCCCTTGCGGTAACCTTCGCCGGGGAGAGCACGAAATGGATCTTCTCGTGGAGCGACGTCAAAGGTTTTGCTATATCTCCATTTAAGCTTCCGTCCTCGAACGTCATGTCCTTTTTCTTTCCGGACAGCATTCTGTCGATTCAAGAAGGGCTGAGGCAGCTGAATATGGAGACGGAACCCGACGAAGAGGAGGAGGAGGAAGAAGAGATAGATCCGGATGTGGATATGGGCGTGGAAGGGAGCCCCGATGTTAAGAAAGCTCTAACGCCGGTCACGTGGTACGAAGGAATTCTCTCTTGTTTCAGGCCATTCTTCGGAACACAAGGGAAACACCGCAAGACCACGGAGCCCGGTAATATAGACTTTTTAGTACAAGGACTCGGTAGTGTATCCCTGCTGCATCGTGTGTGACGGTCGAGGGATGTCTTGTCTGTCCCCAGACGCCTGGGAGATCCCCCTAGATTACATCAAGGGATTGGAGTTCCTCAGTTCTGGTGCTCAAGGTAGGGTCTTCCTGGGTCATCTTGGCCCGGAAACCGTCGCTGTGAAAGAGGTCAAAGAGAAAAAAGACACCGACATTCACCACCTGCGGAAATTGAATCATGACAACGTGGTTCTCTTCAAGTGAGTGTGCATCATGTTATTCGTGGACACCTCGCCCTCCATGACTGGTATAACTGTTTCTTTTCTTCTGTCGTCCTCAGGGGAGTATGCACCCAAAGTCCACACTTTTACATCGTGATGGAGTTCTGTCCGCACGGGTCTTTGTACGACCACTTGAAGGAGGCGAAGTGTTTGGCTCCCTCGAGAACTCTGGACTGGGCCAATCAGATTGCTTCCGGGATGTCCTACCTCCATGCTCACCACATTATCCATCGTGATCTCAAAAGCCCCAAGTCAGCTTACCCCCGCTATCTTAATCGTCTCTAATTGTGTGGTCTCTTATCATCAAGTCATTCCTTTGGTGTCGTGGCACAACTTGCGAAGGTAGAATTGTAGGAAAAGACTTCTGTACGTGTGATACAAAGTATACATTTTGAAAGGCAAAAAAAATCCATTGTCACTTGCAACAAAATGACTGCACGATCATCGTTCATTATGGTATTATTAACAAAAAAATTGACCTGTATTTGGGTTGCCCTTGGCCAATAGGGTAGCCAGACGTCATGCAGTTGTCATTCATGCAGGGGAATGCCCCGCATCGCACATCGATATTAGGCGGGAAAGTATTATGTGAGACATTCTCACATTTCACAGTGGTCATGTGAAAATCTGCCAACTATACATGGCTAGCAGGATGACTGTATGCCTATTAAAATCTTAGAAATTGGCAGATGCCCCATGAGCAGGAAAGAAACTTGGAAATAGGCAAATTCACAATTATTTCCCATTTTGTGTGATTTTCTTATTTTTGACATGATAATGCCTTTTTCATCATATTTCTTAAAACTTTTCTTTCCAGTGTACTGATTGGAAAGGAAGGGATGCTGAAGATTAGTGACTTTGGGACTAGTAGAGAACTGAAGGAACCACGGAGTGCACCATTTAGTTGCTGTGTGGGAACAGTACCATGGATGGCACCTGAGGTGATCTGCAGTCGTCCTTGTTCCGAGAAGGTTGATGTATGGTGAGCTATCTGCTGAGACTGCATGGACATGCTTAACTATCAACTGATGATCATGAGTCAAGATATTCATCATTCTTCAGGTCATATGGAGTGGTGGTGTGGGAACTCTTCACCTGTGAGGTGCCATACAAGGAGATGAATCCCCATGCAATCATGTATGGTGTGGGGAACAACACCCTTCGCCTCCCAGTCCCTCACTCTTTCCCACCTGGAGTGAAATTGCTCATGCAGCAATGCCTGCGACAGAAACCTCATAACCGCCCCTCTTTTGCCCAGATTCTCAAGCATCTGGAGATTGCCTCCTCTGAGATGGCCTCAATCTCTACTGAGGATTTCCAGGATATGCAGGTAGTAACAGGATGTGGCAACCTTGATTATGTTACTGGTTCATCATAACAAAGATGTATTGTTAAAGAGCAGTCATGATGAGTTGCACCTGCTGAGTTCACCACTGATGTGTATTTTCTATAGATGAAGTGGCAGGAAGAGATTGAACTGGAAATGAGCGAGATGTACAAAAAAAATGTGATTCTGGATGAAGAGATCCTGAAAGGAAGAGAAGAAGAGCTCAAGAGGGCCGAAGAGAGGCTGCGAATAGAGATGCAAAAAACATTGGACCTCAGGCGTCGCTATGAGGAAGGGATGGAGATGAACATGAATGTTTACATGAACCTTTGTTCTTATCTCCTACGTTGTGAGAGACAGCTTGAGGATCTCTGTAGGTGAGTACAGGGAAATGTCAGTTCTATGCATGGATTGAATTTTGAATCCTAGGACCATGTTTGAATACTCTGGGAGGTGCACACCTGGGTTCAGAGCAAAATATTTCAGGGTATGTTACAGAAAAGCTTCAGATCAAGGGTATAGTACCCACTAATACAATAACTCCTGTAATGCCTGATAATACTGGATGTTTGGTTACAATTCAGGAGGAAGGGAGAGGAACTATAAATGACAATGCTCTTTGGAGCATGAGCTTATCAGAATCTTATATGTTTCTTATCTTGGAAGCAGGTCATTTGTATCATGGTTTTGTATCTCTAATTGACACCTCACTTACTATAGTAGCAACTCTTTCAAAACTTCACTTCATGTACTTGTGCAAGAGCAATCTGTTGGCAGTTAGTGCCTGATTGATGATGTTCATCTAATTTTGACAGATGCCCAAATTGTGGGTTCAAGGACCTAAGGAAGAAGTCCATTCGCCCTCCTCAATTACAAAGAAGCTCAAGGTTTGTGAGAAAGAGGTCTGGGCCACGTTCTCCTAAGAAGAGTGTCAAAGTGAGTACTCATGGTTTAAGTCAAGATGCTACTGATCTTGCTCTTGTGACTCATCAATCCCCTTGTATTTTTTTTTTTAAATCTCTGCTGCATAGCTGTTGAAGAAGCCCCTGTATGCTGAGGTAATGCATGGGATGATGAAGTCCACAGTGTTCCCAGAAAGAAAAGGAGAGCCACTACCAAATGCTGTGTCAGATGCCATCAAGGGTCGGAAGTCTCGAGTTCGTCGAGGACGTCCTCAGGGCTCCTCTTTTACCTCTAACGCATGGCCATCTCGAGATAAATCGCCCCTTTTCTGCCCCAATGTCTCAGTTAATTTTCAGTCTTCTGTGAGTTTCTCAGTTTTCTGAATTTAGGGGCTGCTGGTTGTTTATGGGAGTTCATTTATCTCATTGTGTTTCTTGAATCAGGAGGCAGAGAAAGGAGTGAAACAAAACTGTGGCACTCAAACAGATGACTCCTGGATGACAACCAGTGAATCTGACATGGTTACATCCCAGGGCTCAGAGTACTGGGGGAAGAAGCAATCACAAGAAGATGTCATCAATGGCAACAACTGTTTTGGAAAAGAAGAACCCTCGCATGGGACTGAAACTTCTCTGGGATCTGATAGGAATTCCTGGAATGCATATGTGAAAAGGAAGGAAGAACATTTGCAGAAATTGGAACTGTTGTCACGTTGCTCATCTTCACGCACAGAGAAGAGAAGGAATTCAGAGTCAGCTGCTTCTCAAGTGGAGTCAGGTGTTGGACTTGACTTTTCAACCGACGAAGAAGATGAAGCCAGTTCATGGTTTCTCACCCGCAAGAGGTTAGTTAATGTTGTCTTTGCTATACTTGTACTTGTCCTCAATTTAGTATTAGTGGTGATGGTGTCATCAACTCTAATGTGGATTCCTATAATTAGCCAACAAATACAAGAGTGAATATTTTTTAATGCAGTGTGGCTCGTCGGCCAATTCATCCAAAGAGAAGCCTCTCAGGATCTGTGCACTCTGTGGCAGCAATCAACACAGATGTCTTTCAAAGCCAAAAATCCTTTGGTAAGACGATTTCTGCTAGTTCTCTCTTTCTGCATGCATCAAATATAAAAAACCATAGATAAATAATCTTCTCTTTGCTTTCCTCACAGAAGATGATCAGGGTTGACAGACTGCTGATGTGAGAGAAGAGTTGGGACAAACTTTTTGTGATTCTGTGATGCATGTGATTCTTGAGTTTGATCTCAACTTTGTCTGTGGGTCTGGTTAGTCCTGGTACTAGTACGCTTCATCATCTCCCCAGCGATGGAGATGGCCAGACATTTGATTTCTTCTTGGGCCGTGATGGATTGACCCAAGCACTGTGCTACCCTTGCATGACATTCCATTCCCACATTGTGATTCCCTTATCTCTTTGTGAATAGTTATTGGAGCTCCAAGAAAATTATTTGCTTTGTGAAGGTAGCTCATGCCGTCCAATAGCAAGTCCATAAGATATTGTCTACTTTAATAGCGTTATGGACAGATATAAGTGAGGGTCAACCTTTGCTTTCATGAGGTGGTTCTTTCAGGGGATACTTATATCATGGAAAGTGTCACTGCAGATAATTTCTGGATTTTAGAACAATTTGACAATTTCCCATATGTGGGTGCCTAATAGCAAATATCTCTCTAGAGTCAGACTTTAATTTTATTGTCAAAATCATTATTTTTAGGCATTGTTAGAATGAGCCAAGAAAGGATGCACTGCAAAGAGAGTTTGTGTTCCCCTGTACATATGTATATTTTTGGCCCACTCTTCTGGGTGCCCTCAGGCAGGTTGCATGATTCCCTACTTAAGAGACCTTTGGCTGTGCTGAAATTGTCTGTGCAGTAGTACCTCCTCTTTATGCAGCAGGAAGTCATGTGCTCATTGGTATTCATGGTTTTATCCCCTACCCACTTGTGTTCAACAGCAGAAAGTTGGTCTGTTATGAAGCCTGCAGAGCAGGCTTGATGAATCTGACCAATCATTTTCAAGTTAGCCTCAAGGATCTGTCCTTCCTATTAGTGGCAGGCATGAATCCTGACATTCATCCTGCTTTTCTGTTGCCTTTCAGTACATTCCAGTGGTCATTCCATTCTATGGGTGATTGTAACCATGCTCATGCCAGTGTACATGCTCTGCAGGAAGTACTGGTACTTGTTTGTAGGTCTGAGCGTTTTTTTTGTACATCCCAGTTTCTTTGAACTGTTTTTTTAATACTCATTTTGTTTTTCCATGGTTCTCTGAATTTTCATGTCGCATTCAAAGTGAATGGACTATCCACAGTCTTCTGTAAAGGGACTTGTTTGTTATCGACCTTAAGCTGAATGCTGATGTTGGTGGCAATACCTGTTCATGCTATAAAGTGTACCATGAAGTGGCAGTAGTGCTGATGTTGAAGGAGAAAAAGATATTCAAATGAAGCATGGGGTTTCGTTTTTATAATGCATTTGTCATTCTCTACATGAAAGAGCAATGAGGACAAGTAGAATATCTGAAGCATCACCATTCACTTGCAAGCCTTCCAATGGTTGTGCCTAGGATGAGGCATTGTCATGATGAACAGACATTTATAAAAGGCTCTGAGTCTGCCTTGCCCAGCATATCTTCCTAGAATATTTATGCTGAATTTAAGCCCAAGTATTGATATTTTACAAAAACTGCATTGACCTTATAACTTTGGCTCTTTTTTTTTTCGCAAAGTGGGGGCCCCCTCTGCCTCCACCCCCCAAAGCTACGCCACCGGATAGACCAATAGGTAAGGGGAGGTCAGGTTGACTTAAGTTACTTTTTTTAGTTGAGAGACTTGCACGAGCTTTCAACAACTCTTACGGCACACTGGAATGCCATAACGTACCTAAACATTGATTTTCCTTAAATTTCGTACCACGTATTTGATAGATAAGAACATTTTTCTTACACAATGCAAATGCATTTCTCACAATTTTTAGCGATCCAACTTAGATTTCTTGCATCTATACGCGTCCACTGATGCCGCTATTGATGTGATGCATAGGCACAGTTAGACTCGATGGAAGCATAGCATCACAAGAGCATCATCGTCCAAGGGAGGATTCGAGAAGATCCCATTTTGTTAATCGTTCAAGAAGTTGAAGCATCATGACTTGCTTCAAATATCATGTGACTATCCTCCCATTAGCGAAAGGATATACCGGGTGGACCCAAAAAAAAGTCCCGAACTTTATGCGTCTGCATATGGGACACCATATATCGTCTTCAAATTTTCAGTGTGTCATATCGAATATGTGTAGGTGGTTTCAGAAAAACTTCAATAAAATTCCTTGCTCTGAACACGAGTAAGAGCCCTTTCCGTACGAGTTGTCAAATAAGCCAGTGTGTCGGTGCTGCTTCGACGGGCGATCGCCGGAGGATCCATCAAACATTTCTACGATTGTGGTCAGTCGCGTTTTTTTGTACACTCGCCACTTTGACATCGCGCGGGAGAAAACTCTCAGGCAGTTAACTACCAATTTCAGTGAAATTTTTGTGTTATCACCTGCGAATGTTGGATGTGAAACCATGTAAATTTTCTATGGGTAACTCATGGTATTCCGCCTGTAAGCGTGTAAAGTTCGGGACTACTTTTTTTTGGACCACCCGGTATATCGTATTTATGATTCTCGTGTGTCTGTCTGATGAAGCATTTTTTATGCGTCTTCAAGGTCACGTCGAGCTCCACTCTGTGATGGCTGGCTTCGAAGAAAGAATTATTGTTTTGCTCTGCTCCTTCACGAGGACGAATGGATACAATTCGAACTGAATTTTTTATCTGCTCACGAGCACTTTCACCTCCTTCAGTTAAGGGCATTCATCTGCGTTCCGAAAAGATGAGTACAACTACTTGTAAGTGTGACTGTACACATAAAATGAAGAAAGTAATATTTAGGCTTTGGGAATATATCCCTCTAATGAGGAATAAGGCGATTACAGCCCGATTGCATCATATGTATGTAATCGATTATAGCTCGCGCAATTATCACACTCTATTTGCGATGCCAATCGTTAATCACGATCGGCATCGAAATTCATCTGTGGAGTTTAATCGTAATTTTAATCAATTGCAATGCCACCGTAATCGACCCTTATCGGACTCCGGTGTACAATTATCGTGAAATAATGAATTATGTTCTGCATCACTTCCGACAATCAATTTTAATTAATAGCGCTATAACTATGCAAAACGAACATTATCCAGCCTAGTTCTCATACTTCTCGAGAGCGGAGCGATTCTGTTTATAATTATTCACGATCGTCGAACCGCACTTCATAGATCATCTATTTTTTTTTTTTTTTTTTTTGCCGTGATCTTCTTTGCTCCCGACCTTTTCCTCCTCTTCTGCAAGCTTCTGCTTAACTGTCCCGGTTGTCTTGCACTGCATTTCATCCTATCCCGCCCACCTCACGCTGTCATTTCCTCTTGTAGCAGATAATGGGATGACGAAACAGTATACGCCGGAAATGAGGGCGATAGAAGGTTTCAACGACGAGGAAAATGAATAACTCGATGATGCGAAATGGTACCTCGATCGGATTCCGAGCGGGTTGAATGGGGAGAGGCGAGAAGGAAGGTCGTGCCCTGCCTGGCCCATTTCCCGCGGAACAAGGAGATCCCGATGGAATCGAGCTCCATTATTTAACCCCTTAAGTGGGGAATTTCTCGGATAGAAGCCTACAACCGCAGTCAGAGAATATTTTCGTGAGAATAACAATTCTGTTGTGTTTGTGAAGGAAATGTGCCACTCTTTCTCGAGTTTATACTCCCATTTCGAGTTTCGAATTCCTGTTTTCCTCGAACTCGGAATAAAACGGGACGAAAAAAATGCCCCCCGAGGAGCTTTTCACCACAACGGATATACAGTATACGTCATACCCACTGAAGGGGTTAACAGGGCTGTGGTAACTGCAGCGCTTCCGTTGGGAAGGAGAGGAAATTATCCGCATCAGCTGATGTTTCATCGTTCGCAATGCCTTCTTCGGATTCTAATAATCCTCAATGGCTTCTTCGAATTCCAATAATGAGGGCATTCAAGGACATCGATTGCAAAGAGATAGAAAGTTAAACTAGGTTATCTTGGTATTGCGCAGCGTAAGTTGAGCAGTACACTCACAAGCACTCAAAAACTTTTAGCACGATTAAAATAGTTTCAAATTGCCATGAGGTACCGCACCATTTTCAGTAGTTAGTCGAAAAAGTCAATAGGCATTCACTTAGATGGTGATCTTGTGATGCAATGAGAAACTACCAAGCGCGTCTGCCTGTTGCATGAAGCAAGGGACTTTAGGTCTCCTCAAATATTTTCTCTTGTCTTTGTTCCAAGATATCTCTCTATGCGATTGCCCGCTCTGGAATTTCATAACCTGTCTGAGATGACCTTTTCATCTCATAGTTGCCACTGTTCGCCATCTCTGCCAGCGATTGACGCGACTAATAGCCGCTGACAGATAGATCTATGGAGCACTTCGCTGGGCTCGCTATTGCCTAGTGCTTTCGCTGGGCCGATGCGGAATTCCTTGCCAAATGGCACCCAGTAACCATGCCCTCATTACAATAAAATAAGATCCCGTCGTGCTGTCATTAACTGATACTTCATTCAAACCATGGACAGATCCTGCATACCTGTTGCGTTAGCAGTCTCATGGTTACTGAAATCCCAGTGACATTACACAATTGTCATCAATTGCTGAGTGACCCTTGCCTTTTGGCAATATAGTGTACATACGGATGGCCTGAGGAAGCTTGGTGGAGGTGACGTCATCAAGCCATCCTATTTGGATCGTGAACGCATACAATGGATTAGTATTGTTCATGTGGATCATGTTTAATGATGTGCTAAATGAAAACGAAATCACTGTAATAGCAGGAGAGGTTATTTGCAGGGTTTCGGAAGGGGGGCGTTGGGGGACTTATTAGTCCATGACTCTTTGTTTTACTCATTTCCTGGATGGTCAATGGATTTCAAGGTGTGGCTCTTATCAGGACTCTTATCTCGAAGAGTCAGAACTGCAAGTCAGAGGCCGGGGTTGTCGATTAGCTCTTTTATAATTTCATCTCACCTTGTATATCTTACAGGATACGATCTCGTCCTGACAGGAGGGATACGAGCTGGGAGGGGGGGAGGAGGGTCTCCTTTCACATGGTGAATTTTTAAATTAGACATTCATCAAAGCTGCGAACGGTGTCACGAGTTGTTGTCTAAGCAAAATTGAAAAGGCTTGGAACGCAAATCAGGAAATCTGAACTACGGAACTTATAGGATTACGACTGACTGTAAACAGTGCTCGAAATGCGGCGAGATGGTATCCCGAAAAGACTGAATTTTTACTTGAGCCACCCCTCCAAAAATTAAAAAATTAAAGCCTATTCCCAACAATCCCCCGAAGGAAAAAAATTAATTTCAAGCACTGACTGTAAAGATTTATTTTGAGAAGCTTCAGGGAGGAATTCCCCGGTTGCTTGCCTTCGTGGGCGTTTCATCGCCAGATCCAGGGCAACCTATGCACTCTCTTGACAGGCACAGCCGAGTTCACTTCTGTTCCACACTTACAGATGGAGCTGCGGATGCCTGCTATGGCGCCTGTCTGTTCGCTAGTATTCCCTTCACCTAAGTGGTTTTAAACCTTATTTTTATGGCATGTCCCACCTACCCCGAACAGCTGGGTCGTGGCCCAGCTGTTGAAAACGATTGTTCTACCTGATTATCAGACCTATGGTCCCGAACTACACCGATACGCCCTACCCTTACCCCTGTATTTCCCTTGCCATCCCACTTTATTGGTTGGAATGTTTCAAACAACTGATGTCACCAATTCCTTTGTGAATTATTTTTCTGAAACTTTTCATTCCCAAGATTAGCCTATTCTTAAACCTGTCATAGGACTACAGAGTTGTTCAATTGAGTTTACCTCTTTCATTCAACCCTGACCTAGTCAGGTTCTTATTAATCAGTTACATACTATAATGTGATGATGATAAGAAGCTCTGCTTGCCAGTCACACATCCAGGATGGCATAGGATGTGTTGGCATTCAATGAAAAGAAAACCGAAATAAGAAGCACTGTAGCCTCAGAATATAGATGTAACAATGTTGGTATTTTTAGACAGCTCCATAAACTACTAATGTGCCAATAAGTGATATATTGACCACTATTGAGGGAAACCAAAAATTCCTGGGCGAAACATGGATTTGAGAACAAGGATATTACTTATTTTGTATCCTTTTGTATCCTTAATTGTAAATTACAGACAATCTACAAATGCAATAGTTCTTGGAATATTTGAAGGTAGAATTTTTTACTTTTTAAGTTAGGTATCATTAACCTCTTAAGTAGGAAATTTCTTGGACAGACATCCACACAGTAGTGGGGGCCTTTTTTATGAGAGTTATAACTTATGTTTATGTATAGAAACCTATTACTCTTTCTTGATTAGTAAAGTTTTATGAGTTGTAAATTTCTATAGAAGTAGTTACTTTCCATTCAAGTAGTACATTTTCATTTCTAAACCTTGATTTTCGGGTTTTTTAAACCATATTTAACTCAAACCTGGGAAATAGCATGATGTATATGTGTGAAACTTATTTAGGAAGCATTTCACCTTTACAGATATATACATCCTACAAACTTACAAGATTAATAGAGATAGCCGATTTATTCATTCAGGCTTTGATTAATGTAGAGTATTATGTATGCCTCATTGATGTCTGAGAAGCCCATTCAAATAGCAAAGTATCTTATGCCTGGTAATTCATTTTATTTGTAGAAACCTTCAGATTTACCATAGGATATATCTTCCTCACCCTATCTATAGGCCTATACCAATGCCTACTAGCTTGCACTGAGGTGCCAAAGAACACCTTGGCCTAGAACACACAATGTACTGGTGGTGCCTTTGGTGTTCTATTTCAAGTGTTGAGAGGGCTAGAATAATTGACTAGAAGTTAATTAGGATCTGACCTTTTGTTACCAGGTAATACATTTATTATTTGGGAATGAGAAATTTGCTTCAGGGTCTGACTTCACAAAAAACATTATGCTGTTTCTATCTTGCTCAAATGTGTTTTCTTGCTAAGTTTCATTGCTATGAATGCAATAGGCTGTTTTGTGAGCTCTGCCTATCATTGAAGAGCTTAAGTTGTAAAATTATATTTCATAGACATAGGTGCACAAACAGGAAGAGGCCTTATATAATCTCTTAGGGCTGCTAAAAGATGTGCTTGTTGTTAATTAGAACACTGACTAAAGCATGCTGTATATCAGGCAGACAATTTCCATTGGTTTCTCCTTTCTATTATATAGTTGGGCCAAAAAAACAGCTAATTCATAGCTCACTGAAGTCATTTCAAATGCATTATGTTAAACCTATTACTTCTTGTCTTAGCCTACAAACAGGTGAAAATGCTGGCTGCTGTTGGTAGAATTGGCAGATGTGCCACTCAGAGGGTTTCCTCTGGCCTGTCAATGGTGGCATGTAGCGAAACTTTCACCCCAACCATCACCAAAGGTGAGGGAGAAAATGAAGGCTTGGCATTCCTAAGTCGTGCTGAAAGTTTGTTGATTATCTAGCCTAACCAAATTTGCTGTCTAAGTACACACTTTCATAGAGACTCTGTTCTTTTTCCACTCCTTGTGATATATATCGGCCCAAGAAACAAATTTTATCCTTGTTCCATGGATAAAGTTGATTGGTGGTGATAAATGAATAAGGAGAGTCACTAGATGATTTTCTGTTTATGTATATATTTTATTTTGCAGTTTCGAGATGTATTCCACAATCAAATCATGTGATGACTTCTCGACATGAGTCAACTGAGGCCAAGGCAGTTACCAAACGTGAGTATCCCTAATCAGTGGCTCTATCAAAATTGTGTCCCTTTGTATTTCTGCTGGATTAACCCAGTTCTTGTCTTTTATAGCTACTGTGAGAAAGCATGATCCCCTGCTGAGGAAAAGCCTTTCAGAATTTGGGCAGTATGTGGCTGATTGCATGCCAAAGTATGTGCAACAAGTGCAGTTGACAGCCACTGATGAATTAGAGGTTCTCATTGCACCTTCTGGCATCATCCCAGTCATTTCTTTCCTCAAGGATCATCATAATGCTCAGTTTCTGAACCTCACTGACATTGCTGGAGTGGATGTCCCAACACGAGTCCACAGATTTGAGGTAAACCTGATAATTCTTCCTTCATTCTTCTGTCATAGCTCTTGATCAATAATTTTGCATTTCTTCCAATGTTCCTTGTTTTTTATTTAGTGTCCTGTGCATCCAATTAGAGTGTGTTTTCTCTTTCACAAATAAGATCCTTAATGGTGAATGGTAACTTTTCCAGATTGTGTACAATCTCCTATCTCTCCGCTACAATGCCCGAATCCGAGTGAGGACATACACCGATGAACTCACCCCTGTTGACTCCATCTGTGACATTTTCAAGGGTGCCAATTGGTATGAACGTGAAGTGTATGACATGTTTGGAGTCTTCTTCCATAATCATCCTGACCTACGAAGAATTCTCACAGATTATGGCTTTGAAGGTCATCCATTTCGCAAGGATTTCCCAGTCACTGGTTATGTAGAGGTGAGGAGCTGTTGATTTTCTTCTCATATGTTTCCAGCCCCTGATTTAGTCCAGATTTTTGTCAAAGTTTACTAGATATGGAGGTATGAAATAGTTTTCTTTTCTTCAGGTGAGGTACGATGATGAGGTGAAACGTGTTGTTGTCGAGCCTTTGGAATTGGCCCAAGAATTTCGAAAGTTTGATCTGTCATCACCATGGGAAACTTTCCCAGCCCATCGTATACGTGGACCTTCCACTGAAGAGGCCCCAACTGAGGAGAAAGTTGAGAAAGATAAGAAACAGAAGTAGGGAGATGTTTAAGTTTTTTCTTCTAAAATTCATTTATCTCTGTTCTTAAAATGTGTGATCACCTCCCTGTCTTGTAAATTATGGAATAAAAAGTCCAATAGTGTCATAATCTCTGAGTTCTTACTCTACAGTCCTGTACCTTTTGAATGTTTGTCAGTGAAGTGGAGATGAGACAAACTTGCCATGTTTCAGTTTCTCAAGTATTGCTTGTTTTCAGAATTTTTATCCATTATCAGATCACATTTGTGAGGCAAGAAGGATAATACTAGAACTACTGTACTTGTTTTTATTTTCTGGGACACTTCTCTGGGGAATGCTGGTCTTGTTGGTACAGATTTAATCCAGTGGTAATTAATGATTGTGAAATTGTTATAGGTTAAGAAAACCATTAGTAATGGAAGACTTTTGACAGACCCAAAATTAAGAATGCTACAATGACTGCTATTTGTAAAGATTTGCATATTATGGAAGCTTGGGCGATGCATATTAGCAGTAGGTACTCTAATCTCCAACCAAAAGTATTAGTTTTTCCTTGACTTGAGTTTGCAAATCAAAACGTTGATATTTGCAATTTTTAGTCCTTGCCGTCCAGGTACTTTCAAAGTTGTCAAAATAATCGCTAATGCTCTTCTTGTCCATGGAAGATTGGCCCTACGAGCGCCACCGATTTCACCCATCAGGTCTTGGGGCTTCACGGGGCTTCGTGCTTGCCTCTCCATGACACTCGGTCTTCTCATGAACGGAAAACTTTGCCAGTGCCATCTTCCAATTACAAAAACCACTTATGAATGCACTCTCCTTGTTAAAGGACGTGAGGAGGCCTTTCTCAAGCGCTTGCTTGCAAATTGAACAGACCACCCGAATGGAACTTCGGAATGAAAGCCAAGGATAACGCTGCAACCACTTGAGTTTGAACTTCCTCCCCCCCCTCCATCGATCGAGTGTGAAACAGACGGCCGCTTCTCAATTTCTTTCGTCATCCTTCGCAGACTTTTTCTATCTTAAGTTAGAGCATATTTCTCGAACTGGGAAAATCTTCACTTTCACAAACTCTTTTGCGGTCTATAGGTTTTTTCCATTACGAACTTTTTCATAGCGCTATAGTTTACATCAAGGGCATGACCGACTTCGTCCCCTAAGAATGGGCTGAGAATAGGAGATGAGATCTACATATCCATCATGACTTCCTACGTCGAAGGTAGGACGACGGGTCACTCGTGCATAATTGATTTCTCGTACCCAATGCAAGCATTAGCAGGAACTTACGTAGACACAATATAGATCACGAAGTGTCAGGTATACGCGCCAAATTGTCAAGTCTAGAACCTACTTTTCGTCCCACTTTCTCGTTATAAACTGCCAGATGGAAGATGAGCTATTTTCCACAGTCCTCAAGTCAGCTCTAACAAAATATTTTATGAATTTTTTAAGAGGGCTGAGCCCATCGGCCAATTTTTTTTTTTTTTTTTTTTTTGGGGGGGGGGGGGGGGGGGGGTTTAAGGGGGCGGGGGCGGGGGGGCATTTTTTTTTTTTTTTTTTTTTTTGGGGGGGGGGGGGCAGGTTACTTCCTCTTTCGCCCCTGCATTCCAATTGACAAGAATCACAAAACATGATTTAATCTTTGACCTGCACACGGTTGGGGCGAAAGTGCCCAGTGGCACAAGTTCCACGCATGATTTTCATGACTGATAGCCATATCTGCCTCAACCCTTAAGTATGGGAGGCAAGGTTAACTCCTAGTTTCACTGTCTGTTTTACTGTTTTGTTTCCAACTGTGCTACATGAATACTTAAAATGAGTTGGAGTCGATGAAAACTGTAAGGGGCGGAAGGAAGCTAGTCCCGAAGGGATACGTTTATACAGGTAGATCCCACTGCAACCACGAGAGCCGGAGTCGCTGGAAGTGCGATGAAGACAAGTGCCGAACTGCGTTATAACGGACAATCTGCACCAAGCAACCGAGTGTTTCTGAGCACCACGCTCATGAAAAAGAAACCAGCCAAGATCAAGATGGCAAGGGTCATTCGTCAGATGCGTAGCGATGCTCAACTCAGCATACTCAATATATGAAATACAGGGACTCGGAAGCTGGGATTTGCCATCTCCAGTCTCTATTTCTCACAAACAATTTATCTTTAAAAATAATAAATCTCAGCCCGGTCTAATGTGGTGTCATTTGAGTTGACCATCTGTTCCTATCGAAGCAGTTTCTTTTGACGCATTTTTTTTAGCTGTATGACCTCTTGATTTGTGCATTTACGATCTTGGTATGACTGCTTCATAAGATAAGAATGATTTCTGTATCTCTGAAGGATTATTGGAAATTCTGTATATCTGCGACCCTGCCTCATTTCTCTGCTATACATCCATTTGTCTGCTATACAGGGTGTCCAAAGAGAGGAAAGGAAATATAAGGAAAACTTTTAGATTCTTGATCCATGGGTAGGAGTTACCGTTTCTTTCAACGCTGTCATTTTCAGTATCCATCTTACACAGAGTGGGAAGGTGAAACTGGGTGGGCTCCCCTTTTTAACAACAACTTAGGCAGACATGGTTATCAATCATGAAAATCACGTATGGAAAGTCGCTCCTGTGTACTCTCGCCCCCGTTTATCGAAATGAGATGAATGGGAAAATTTAGCAACTATTCATCAATTAAGTCTCGGGGGCGGAAATGGTAGACACAGGGGCCCGCCCCCTCCCCTCCCCCTATGGATCGCCGCCTATGTCTCCTCGGAAAAGAAACGACGAGACGCCCTTCTATAGCCTACGTTCTCAACTGCACATCCGTGCTGCTGAGAAAATAATAAAAGAGACAGGGATATTGGATAAGGAAATCGAAGACATTGCCAGCTGAAGTAGAAGCTGCAATTGCAGATACGTTTCAGAAAAACTAATAACGTATACAGGGTGTCCCAGAAAGATGTTTACACACTTTAATAGTCTAGCATACAGTGACATGTTGTCTGTCAGCATTGAGTCTTGTTTGATCAGAAAGCCAACTGATGATTTACACTGTACACTAGCCCAGGTGTTCAAAATGTCCACCATCGGCAGCCAACCGAGCATTGCAGTGGTGAGGAATGGTGCGACACACATTAGCACATGTTTCAGCTGGAATGGCGGAGGAAGCATTAACGATGCTCTGTTGGAGCTGCTGGAGGGTCACCAGTTTTGTGACGTACACCCTGTCCGGGAAACACCATAAATGGAAATCTGGGGGTGTTCAATATTGCAGTGGATATTCCACAGGTCCACCTTGTCCTATCCAACGCCCAGGAAATTACATGGTGCCTTCAGCCTCAAATTTATCTCTCAATCATGCAATTGTGAGACGTGTTGGGGTGTTGTTCTACACTCACATTCCAAGCTTGCTGCGCCTCGCTACTTTCGCAAATAATTTCCAGTGCCACCTCGGTATCTGCTTGTGCTGATGAAATGACAGATACATCCGCGCCATTGTGGCCAGACAATGGCAGCAAGTGGTTTTAGCGATTTGGTGAAGCGCTGCAGGGTAAAAGCATCAGTTGGCTTTCTGATGGAGCATTGCTCAATACTGATGGACAAGATGCAACTGTATGCTAGACTATAGAAGTGTGTATACATCTTTCTGGGACATCCTGTATGTGGGGTGTTTTATAGTAAACACCCCACTTATTCACTTCGGGGGAACAGGTAAAACTCTTCTCTAGGGGAGAAAAAAATTCAGATCATGCTTTATTCTGGCTGCTGCCTCCTTTATTGAAACTCTAACAACTGGGGAATAAGGCAGAGAAAGCCCAATCAGACTCGCACTTTGATTTGAGCTATGAATCATTGAAAAATATTATATTTGCCTTTTGCTCTCAAATTCATCTCCGAAGAATAAGGATTGACTCGACCAAGATGTGAATTACGCGGATTTGACGCGAGATACTGATGCGAGAGTACAACATTTCACACCTTTCGGCCCATTCCCATCCCTCTAGATGCTGAAAAAAAAAATTGGATTGAACATCGCGAAGCCTGTATCACATCTGAACTGTTGAAGTATTGAACGTGTCCCATCCTTTTCCCACCTGCTCAGCCGATTGTTCTTCCAGAAGCATAGAATTCATGAGCATATGGCTTTTATGGTTACCTTACTTTCTGCTTGCTGCAGAGGAATTCTTAATTAATGATAATAATAAAAAGAAAGAAGAGAAAAGGGCAACGTATTTAGACCTCATGTTCGAACTTCAGCAAACATATCCTGGACACAAAGTCGCCCTCCGTGATCACCGGGTGCCTCGCAGGGATGAAGGCTTCGACCAACGCGGGGAAAGAGAACATCTAAAACTATGCATTTAGTCCTCGATTCTACGTTTTACAGAGAGCCCGAACGTCTCCGTGTCGAAGATATTATCATGGAAAGCCTCATATTTTCAAAGATACAAAAGGGAACCCTTCATCAGTACTATGGTGGGCATTCATATACGGTTGCGAGGAGGAACACCACCCAATGGCGATGTAGTGCTAGAATCACCGTCCGGATGTAGAGTACTTCAAGATGAACCGAGAATAACGAATGTTTCGTTTTGAATAACGAATTGTTGTCTCGAAGGTTGGCATCGGAGGCTTAGTTCCTTCATCAAAGAATCGCATCCCGCGTTTCTTCTGCTTCAGGAATTGCAGAAAGAACTAGTCAACACAGAGGGAACTAGATCCAGTAGTGGCAGGGTATCCTCCAAAGAAGAGACGATGAATATAAATTGAAAAGGACATCGAAATCAAGTCAATTGTATAGTTCACAAATCGATGCAATATCTCCATGGTATCGCCCACAATTTGCAATTTTGACAGCTATCAGGAGGAACTTCTCTTGCAAACGGACGGAAAATAAGCTTTTGACCTTTTTTTCAATTGCTCCATCTTTGGCCGGTCCGGACTTTGGACCTTCTTGCTGTGAACCAATGACACAGTGACATTTTCGATTTGGGACTATTCATGATTATACCTTTCGTCGCGGACCCGAGATTATAGCAATTTTAGCACAATAAGTTTGAATGGGTAAAGTATTGCAAAAGTAACATTTTCTAACAATGATGAAATCCCACTAGCAAAGCTCAGACAAGACGTAATACCCCATAG